TCCTTTTCCTTGTGAATCAAGTTTCCCAAGAATATACGCCCAAACCATTATTATTCAATTCTTATTAATATTTTAGCAAGTATTGCTGTATTAGAAGTCTCATCCCAGACGAAATAAAAGTTTGTTTTGTGGTAGGACAAAGCTATTGCAATTAAAATAGGAGTCTTAGTGGATAAATATTGAAGTCTTGAAAATTATTTTACTTTCAAATATCTTACCAACCAAAGGATCGTTTGAAGCTTCAAAATTCATTAATGGACCAAGGAAGGGTTCTATGCTCAAGATTTATAGTTGGTTCATGTTTCACTCTCCTGCTTAGTATTTTAATTTCCGAGTTACTTTTAACGTTGATTTTATCCAAAACTTTGTCGCACAACTACTTTATTGTGAGCATTGTGACGATCATTTTTGGGATCGTTGAGATTGCTATAGCATGTATAGTTATCTGTTCTGCGCGTAGAGAACTCAGACAACGAGCAAGAGTTGCGCCTGAATCGATTTCAGAAGTTTAAGTCCTTGATTTTCGATTGGATTCTAATGTTCTTTTAATTCTTTTGACATTGTGTACTCTGGATTATGGTGCTCAGAAGTGATATGAAGATTATTAGCATTTTGTAAAATTAACTTTATTTTATTTTTAAAAATTTTGTAGCGTTTGATCTTGTCGATTGTGTTGCTCGAAGTAGATACGGAGATTATTGAATTTTGTCATTTACATTTGCACAACTTTTGCGACGAAAATAGTAGCCGTTAAGAGAAGCAATTCACGAATCCATGCCGTTATCCGCCGCTAGACAATGGCCATTAACAAAAATCACAAAATATCTTTTACTTTCATTCTTTGAAACAATATAATATCTTTTCATTTTCGTAATATTTGTGCATTGACCTTGCCATTAAAAACAATAAAATCGTAGAAAAAATAGGCTTAAGAACGCGCAAAATTTGTATGGTCCTCAATGATCCGCGTACTGATTCTGTACAATGGTAATAATTAGTTTTCACAACATACATACAGATATATTAGTCTGTTTGAAAATAAGAAAAATCAAGCGAGCTTTCAAGTTGTCAAATCACTTGTACAAGTTTGTAATTTTAAAAAATTTATATTTTTCTTCGGATCTTGCTACATATACATCAATGATTACATAATGAGTTACATAATGTCACATGTCATTTTATCATTTGTCAGTTTAAAATACGGTCAATTTTTCCATCCAATTATTTTCCCCCACATCATATTATGTAACATTTTATGTACAAGTAGCAAAACCTTTTTCAAATTATTTGTTTTTACTGAAAATTAAAATATTAATTTTAATTTTTAAATGAAGAGTTGATACTTTTCAAAGAAGTATAAGATTGGGGTTAATTCTAAAATATTTATTTTTAACGAGAAGAATAACTTTTTCAGAAAATTGTAAAATGAAATATATTTTAGTTTTTCAAACAAAAGTAGGATATTTGTGATGGCTTTTGTAACCATGAAAATTAACTCGAATATCGACTGAAAAGGGTAAATAAGGCAATGATCAGAAAATAATTTAACCCTGTGATTAGAAATTAAAATATATAAAAATCTTCTTTTCTTCTTAAAAACAAATACTAGAAAAACGATTAAAACTGGTTCCAAATTCGGCTCCTCCATGCTTTGCGGTTTTCAATTTTTATTTTTTTCGTAATATTTCACAATTTTCCTAGTTGAATAGACTAGAATTGGACAAAATTCTCAAATCCAAATTCAACTCCTCCATGCTTTGCGGTTTTCAATTTTTATTTTTTTCGTAATATTTCACAATTTTCCTAGTTAATAGACTAGGATTGGACAAAATTCTCAAATCGAATCAGATCGAATAGACCTGAATTGAAAAGAATCGAGCAGTTCTTCTTAAGTTAAATACTCGAACAAGTGTTTGAATTGAGAATTGACGGGTTTGGTTCGATTGTTGTTTTTAGATTAAGAACTGGATCTCCTTAATTTTTGTAAACTTTTTTATCTTAAATAAGTCGAATTATTTTATTTTTTTTCTAAATAAATTTGTTAACTAATTAATTTAGCATATACCCAAAATATGATTTGCCTATTTCTAATTTTCAACAAAATCCAACTTAATTAATTTGATATAAGTTTTATCCAAATCTCTTATTCTATCGTAACCGTTCTGGAGAAATCGAATTTGAAGTTCGACTGTGTCTCTTTTCTTTATTGTGAGTTCACCATCTTTTTCTTCCCGTGATTTTAATAATCAAATCTATGATGAACTCAACAAAGAGATGCACAAAAGTCAAAAGATATCACATGATTGGATACGTGATTTTGTAAGAATTAAAATTGAACATATCATTAGTTAAATTAATATAGCGTTATTGTAAATATTAAAAAAATTATTGTATGAAAATCGGGAGCCTAATGAAACCGAACACAAACGGTTCCACTCACTAAATATCCGAAAATTCGAATTCAATTCGGTTCGATTCTAAAGAGAATCAAATTAGATCATGTCCAACCCTAAAATAGCCCACTAGTTCTTCTAACTTTGTGAAATGTTTTATATATTTAAATCCCATTCTTTTTACGTGTTAGTTATTACAAATGAATGAATGATTGGACAAAATTCGACTCCATTGCATTTTACTCGTCTAATATTAGGGTATTGCTTCAACGTATATATCGATATAATTTATTTTAGATTTGATAGAGAACTATACAATTCGTAAAAGATGTTTATTTTACATCGCTACTTACATAAAAGAGAATTATAAAATTATTTTTACAGATTTATGAAGTGTCAAAAAGAAATATTTATTTATTTTTTATTTGGTTGATGAGATTTTGATTCAACCAAATTTTGCTATATTATATGTTGGTAAATTAATTAGTAAGTTGTGACAAAATTCATGAAAATGTTTATTTTACATCGCCACTTACATTAATGTTTAACATCGATTTAGGTGACATCATCTGTATCATTAAATTACATGTTCGATTAAATACAAAAATTTATAATTCATTTATTATGACCTATCTCATACCTGCGCTCTAATATAAATGGTAGTAAATAATAGAGTAATGCTATTCATACTCAGTGTGGATAAAAACAGTGTGAATGAAAATACAGTTTAGGTGTCGTTAATGTAGCATTAAATGATAGATGAAATTAAAAAAAAATTCATTTAACATGTCATTTAAAGTCACATAAACTGTATTTTCATCGATGAATAACATTACCCTAAATAATATTATTCTTTTCCATACGAAACGCTGCAACACTTATGAAAAAGATTTGAAATGTGAATGAAATTTTCTCTTTTATAGGATCTTGTTTCCCGCTCACAAATGAATTGGAACTTTTTTCCTTCATTAACATCATCTTTTATATATATTTTTTACGCTGTATTGTTTCAAAATTCCTTGAAATTTTTCTCTAAAAAGGGGATCAGTTCCAATTAACAGATCAAGCACAAAATTCCTAAGCCTTGAACAGTTAGTCATTCTCTTTTTGTTAATTAACAGATCAAATTCTCAATTTTCTGGTTTAATTCACGCATCAGAACTAGCTTTTACTGCATAATTTACTGGTTTTGTCTGAATGGATCTGCCAATATTTGTAGTGTTATTCTCTGTCAAATCTATTTTGGAGCATAGGAAATGACACATGCTTGCTGTTTCTCCGTTTCTAAGGCATTGTAAGATTTTATTATGCACAAATTTGGTTAATTATATTGATGTGTCGTTCCAATTGATCATCGAATACTCTTTCTTTTTTTAAAAAAATAATCTTTGTATGGTTATAATCTTTTAAAAAAATGAAAACTTTCAGTTTATAAGGTGTTTGATGAAATGCTTTTATGGGTTGGATGTGTTTTTCGACGGGCAAGGTTTAAATGAAATCTATTTGACATTAAACTGAATGATGCGATAGCTTTTACGTGTAATAGGATTGTGTATTTTGTTGAGAAATACGACAAATTGTTGAAATTCATTTGTAAGTTAAGGCGTGTTGTTTATAACTTGCTCTTCTTCGTAGAAATTTTGCAACAGCAGCAGGGAGACTATCAATAAGTTTTCGCTACAAATTGAAATTTCCGTTCAAGTTCTCATCAAGAAATATTCACATGGAAAATAATCACAGTAGTGATTCAAGGGGCGCTTTAATTGTTCTAGAAGGGCTTGATCGGTGTGGGAAGACCACTCAATCAAGCAGACTACTTTCATACTTGGAAGAGTTAGGACATACGGTTGAATCATGGAGATTTCCTGATAGAACTACGAATGTTGGGCAAATGATTTCTTCTTATCTTGCCAATAAATCACATCTGGATGATCACACAATCCATCTTCTCTTCAGTGCAAATCGTTGGGAGAAGAGGTTAGTTTTGAGCTGAGTTTGGCTGCTTCTCTGTTTGGATGACATCCATGACTTTTCATACACACATTCTGTATTCAGCCATAACACAGTTATTCAAAATAGCGCTTTCTTGAAGTCATATTAAAGTTGAAAGATTGATACTTGATTGCTGACCTTGTTGATGTAGATCATTGATGGAGTCTAAGCTGAAGAGTGGAACCACGCTAATTATTGATCGTTACTCTTATTCTGGTGTTTCTTTCTCATCTGCCAAAGGGCTCGATGTGGAGTGGTGTAAGGTGCAGATGTCATCAGTGATATTCATTATATAACATCTGCTGAGCATTAAATATAATTCTTGAAGCTAGTTAAATTGTGAGGTCTTTTGTGCAGGCTCCGGAGATAGGTTTATTAGCTCCTGATCTGGTATTATATCTTGAAATATCACCTGAAGTAAGTAATTTTGGATGCACTCTTTTATTTGTGTTAACATTGAAGTTCCTCTTAATCTTCAATCTGCATATTGGCATCTTATATGTTTCAATGAAGATATTTGTTCAGGTTGCTGGGTTATTCTTTGTAGTTTCAAACTATCTATGTAGGGTGAATTTGCATGGTGTATTTACATACATCCATGGCATGTGACTAATAAGTCTGATTTTATTTACATGCTTTTGTAGATATAACATAGTGGAGAAGACTTGTTTTTTAGAACCCTTGCACTATTAGTGATTATATCAATCATATTATACATTCATTTCTTACTCTTTTGATCTCTATCCATACGAATATCTTATGTGCAAATTATGTAGTCTTATCTGATATGAATGGCACAATTGTATTTCTTTATCAATTTTTTATTTTTATTTTTTTTAACTTTCTACATCAAGTATTCCTCCTGTCTAAATTAAACTTGCTTTTGAAATTCTTAGAATGCTGCTGAACGTGGAGGTTATGGAGAAGAGAGATATGAGCAGCTTGAATTTCAGAAAAAAGTTGCCCAATCATATAAGACTCTTCGTGATGCCTCATGGAAGGTAATGAATTTAGCCCTTTCTGATACTATTGTACATTCAACACGCTACAGATTGAGTATGTGAAGAAGTGTGAAACTTTAAAAAGTAGAAGTTTAGATTATACGAAAACTTGTGTCAGAAGTCTAATAACCTGATGATATAATCTCTGAGTTTGCCTCACTCCTCTGATGGGATTCAGTACATTTCCTTTGACACCAACTTCTAGTTTCAGATTGGCATCATATCATCTCGCCTGTCAAATATTGAAGTTGTGGTATCTTAAAAATTTATGATTTGTCTTAATGTTATTTTCCTTGCCGTAGAACAAAATGTCAATAGCTTCCTTTTCATAAGTCGACTCTAATAAGCTTATGTGATCAGATGCCATTACTCCAGGGTGGGAAAACTGTTTTGTGCTAATTTTGGCCTTTCTTTGTTATTGTCGTTGTAGATTATAGATGCCACACTTCCAATTGAAGATGTTGAGAAACAGGTGAGAGACACGGTACTGAATTGTGTGGAGACTTGCAGAGAAGGAAAACCTCTTTCAGAGCTCTGGTTATCCTAATTTATTTTTGTTCTCTGGTTGAGTGCAAGTTTTAGACAGGCTTGCCTGTGATTATGAAAGTGAGGAGTGTAATTTTAGTTCAGGTTGTTTTTGTCGTCTAATTCAGAAGATTTGCAGTCAAGAAGACAATGATTGTAAACTAGAGTACCTTGGCCCATGTGGCCAAATTAAACTTCTTTTTATTGCTAACGCTGCTTTTCCATTTCAGGACAAAAGTACGTGTATGCATAGTTTAACTCTTTTTGCCATTTGAGCTTCATCACAAGTTACTTTTTCTGTCATCTGCTCGTGCATTAAAGTGTTGAATTAAGTCCTGTGATGAGTTCAATTCTTGCATTTAGTTGCTACTCTTGAATTTGAAACCTTGAACATATTGCTGATGATACGAATTCTGAAGCCCATCAAACTCGTATCAACTGTTTAGGCCTGTCCCAAAGTAGGTTTACACATACTTACACAAGCTCATGGGCGGTTGAATTTATTATTAACTTTTTCCCATTCGCAATTTTTTCCCTTTAAAGAATTCCCCTTAGGGCTATGATTTTTTTCCTTGCACCTTTTTACACATAACTAGTCGATGTCACGTGCGTTGCATGAGTTTTGTATAAATTTTGTTTTGATTAGTATATAAGGACTCAAGAATCCTCAGAATCTTTCGAGATAATTCGGATTATGATCTTCTTGTATTCTCTGTTATAAACTTTATTTGATTCTGATGAAACAATATTAATAAACTTTGCAACAAGAACAACATATGAAAATTGCATAGATAATTTCATCGTGTATCCAAATTTCAACGCCTCTCCCGGCAACTGATCGGCAAAGAGAGGGATGAATGACATTAAGTCCAAGCAGCATACTTTTTTTATCTTGTTCCCTGCAAGATTAACATGATATGAATCCTTAAGCAAGTCTATCTGGTAGAAGATGGAGGGAAAATAGAAAGAAATATAAACAAGTGCATACCTTTTAAAAAGAGCTCGCACTCCACTTTATTTAGTCTGTTCGAACATTTGGAACCAAAGGTTAAGCTTTTGCAGAACATTGAGCGCCAATGGTACACTATAATACAGACCATCAATAACCTGAAGAAAGGAATTGATCATCAAATGGTCAGGCCTCATTTTTCAAATGCTTGGCAACAAGCGATCTCTCTCTATTAATGACCTGACAAATAAAATAGAGTAAAAAATGAAGCAAACAAGTAGCCATCAATGATAGCAACTACATTCTTAGTTACACAAATGCATCTAGTTAGTGAACTTCGCAACGAAATAGTAAAAGTATTTAGTGTAGGCAGTATCAAGATTGTTTGAAAACAATCTCATTGGAACAAAAATTGCATACCCCGTATTTTGGAAATCACAATTAATATAGAGCCAGATATAAAAACAACGCAATAAAGAGAAAAAATTATTTATTGCTGCTGCAATCTAAACCACCAAGGGGTCGACCATCTCCCAGATGAAAGGTTGCACCAGCGTAGGAAACTCATAGACTATATAACTCTAAACTTGAAGCACTATCATCTCAATTGTGAGACAGTTCACAAATTCCAACCATGAGAGACTGCAACCAAATAAAGAACAGCAATTCATCAAAATCCTTGCTTTTAATTTTTCTACTATCAAATGTAGCCTCACTAACCAGCAATGAGAATAAGATAAGCACTCATAATTTTGATAAACGTAAACTATAATCTTAAAAAGGCACAAAAAGAGTGAACCCGAAAACCGTAATTTTTCTAGCTTCTGGAAGATGACGAATAACCAAAAGCTCAAGACGCAGACAGAGATTAAATAAAATAAAATAAAATAATTGATTAATGACTTTCAGAGAGGCATGTAATAGGAACTCCCATAAAAAGAATCAGGAGCCAAAGTATAAAATAAAATAGAATTAACATTCTCGCAAATTGAATCCATATGCATACAGCAAACAGAAGAAAAAAATAAATGTAACCACACTCTCATAAACAAGAACCAAAAGTGCCTCTCAGTTTATGAATATGATATCAAACATAGGTAGAAGAAAAGAAACTGAAAAAAATCTCAGAATACCAATTTAACAATGTAGTTTATACATCATCCACCCAGAAAGCCCATACGCATACATAATGATGTTCTAAACTTACACCAGACATACAATCCCAGAATCAGGAATTGAAGCAGAAATTGAGAGCCTCAATATTTGGGTCCTCCTTGGTATTGAAGGATTTGTTTTGATTTCAGAGAAATAAAAACCATAGGCTATTCTAATTTGGTCAGGGAAAAGTTGAACTTCGCGCAACGCGAACAAGAAATTCAAAATACTAGGGGGCATTGACTCACTGAACATTACATTCTTCAACAAGAATTTCTATGGCTTTGATGTAAAGGGCATGAAGAGAAAAAGAAAAAATATATATTTTACTTGATGGGATGATGGCACCTATGAAAAAATACAAAGTTAGTCAACCAATTTTTTAGCTTTCCCTTTTCGACTATCCCAGTGTGAGGAGAGAGGTCGGCAGAAGAAGTTTCTAGGGTTTGTGCAGGGAAGTAGTGGTTGTGGGTGAGAATTATGAGAAATTGCATGATAATGAATCTTATGCATTGAATGATGTCCGTGTCTCCACGCGGATGCGAAGACCTTTTTTTCTGTTTTTTTTTAACTTTAGATGCCTGCAACTAATTTTCAACATATAAAATCAAATTTCTCAAAATAGAAAGATAAAATATGTAACGAATCAGTTCAAATTGAGTGAAAAATGACTTTTTTTTTTTTTAACATAGTAGCGGAAATTGGAGGAAAAAAAAAAGTCACGGCGCGCGCAGAGACATTTTTTTTTTCTCTTCTCAAAATAGAATTTTTTTTAACATAGTAGCGAAAATTGGAGGGAAAAAAAAATCTCCGAGTAATGCGCGGACACGGCCGCAAAGACTTTTTTTTTTACTTTAGATGCCTGCAATCAATTTCCAACATATAAAATCATTATTCTTCCAAATAGAAAGATAAAATATACAACGAAGCAGTTAAAATTGAGTGAAAATTGACTCTTTTTTTCAACATAGTAGCGAAAATTAGAGGACCGAAGGAGTGAAATCTGAAAAAATGAACAGTAACGTCTTATTACTTTTCTGTTGCATCTACAATGATCCCAAAATTGGCTTTTTTATTATAATAGGACATACGAGAAAAAACAGATGTAAAATTGGAACACCCAACCAGATCAAAATATGCTGTCATATTCTCATCGTTAGACAGGTATTATATGTCTTTATTTTTCTCAACTCCTAATCTGCTAATTTGCAAGCCAATCATGTTACATGTTTTACATCAAATTTGACATCATTTGAGTCAGACAAATTTTTGAACATTGATTTTAATACACTTTTTCAATCAATGATCAGATTTTGTACAAATAAGGGGATGTCAAAAGATGTTGTCAACCACAACTCCACAAGGAGCATAATTCTTTGCAAGAATCCAAATCACTCCATCCACTTTGGTGAAAAGAGAGTTTTCCAAAACATGAATTCATTTAAGCACACGATATTATGTAGGATAGAGGTTTTACTTAACTTTTAATCTGGTTCAATATTATAAGTATTTTTTTTACACAAAAATGGTAGTACATACTTATCCATCGACTCTAAATAAAGGCAGCAAAAGCAACTTGTAACGACCTTGGCCTCTCAATTGATACTAAGATTTAATTTAAATCTCTCATAAGGTAGAGATCTTAAGTTTGAATCATGAGAACAAGATAGAAAGTAGCCAGAGATAAGATGGATAAATGTTCTCTCAAAACGAACAATATATATAATATAACAGTTTGGACATCGATGCTCGGGTCATTGCACAACTAGTACCTGTATTCATGATTGTAAACTATCCTAGGCGCACACAAGTGGAGCAAATCAATAGGTAATGCTTGGCCAAAGATGGTCATTCATACTTTCGAGTGTGAAACTACTTGCCGTTTAGAGTTAAAGCGGAAAACACACAGCATAGATTTGTATAGCACTAACAATTCACAGTTTTGCTAGAATTATAGATCACTATCCTTGCGAAAATTAACACGATCTCATCAAGGGCCCCAAGGATGGACTTCAATACATCGTTCTAGGAAATCTTTCAGCAACAGAGTGCACATTAATCTCATATGATTTCTTAAAAGCAATTACAAAGGGTACAGTATATTTAACTGTAACAAGATTTTTAGAAATTTACAACCTCCTGATAGCAAACATTAGCGGCCTCTTTCTTAAAACTGAGCAGCTGGGATGAAGAAAACTATCATGCAATGTCATTCAATAGAAAGCACCCTCAGATGAGCATGATGCATAATCTTGATGGCTGATAAGAGGTCCCTACATGGAGAGGCAGCAGTAATCATCGTAAAATCCAATCAACAGGATTATAAAAGAGATGATAGACAATCCACCAAACTTCCAGAGACTATTGTTTGTTCCTATGGCTAACATGATTTACTGAGAAAAGCAGGAAAATGTTTTAATACCAGCAGATCAATAGCAAATTAACTCTATTTTTCTAAGGAGAATAATATGACAGATAACAAAAAATCATCAATTTCGTTATCATAAAAATGTAAAGTACGTGTTTGCTAAATTAAAGGAAGAAATAAAATTTCCTAGTAAGACATCAAGTGGATGCCGACATATTTTAACAAGTGAAAACCAAAAAGCAATAACCACATGCCTTGCTCCAAGCTACAACAATGAAATGACTCTCAAATAATCCTCAGTCATACATTTTCTGCACATTAAAAATGAAAACTATATAATTCAATTAACAGTAAACAAAACTGATAACCATAAAAGATAATCAACGATCTTCTCTTTGAGAAGGGAAAAAAACTGAATCATACTTAAAAAGACAATCAACTTGAGGAATTCCCCAGTAGAAAGTTAAAACTGTTTATGGTTACGGTCACCTAGTCTACTATCACATTCCTCTCCGTTCAATATTCTTATGAGCAAGGACTCTCGTTGTGTTTTAATTGTCTTTTTGGGAGTGAGAAAGTTAAGAGCTGCACACGTATCAAGGAGACTTTTAAACAGGCTTAGTTTTTATATATTCTTCTCCAACTTTTTCATTTTTCTCTTCTAATTCTTCAATGCCTCTCACCTTTTGATCTTACACCATCAACAGAGAAATTTCTCTGTTGATTTCTCCTCCTGCCATCTCTTATGTTTTCTCATGTTATATAATCATGTCATTAATCGTGCATATGCACTAAGGGATGAAGCCTTTAATCCGGAAACAAAATTATTGATACTTACATTAAAGGCTCAAGGTTTTCAGGAACCAAAGAAGACTACATCTATCTTTCCTTCACAAAGAAGGAAGCAACCTATGCGAGCAACCGTATCAATAGCCTCCAGGGAATTAGCAACGCAAATACTGTCTGGCACCTTAGAGCACAACTAACTTAGATTAGACGAATACCACCTTAGTTGTTAGTTAAACATCCCATCCCATTAAACAAGGCAGCTTAAACATGGAAATGCAGAAAGCTATTGCAAGACACAGATCACACAGAAACTATGTGGACATTGAAACATGATAGAATTAATGAAATCAACATAAGGCAAAGTTCAAGTCAAAATGACTAACATGTATTTTACTTCCCATGAGCTACAGCTCACTATGATTTCGCCAAACAGCACGGAACTCCTCACGGAATGTGTTCAAACGAGCTTTCAGGTTAGGTGTTCTCAAGCTTGCATGGAGTAGGGTGACTGAGAGAGAGAGAGAGAGAGAAATGGAAGTTATAGAATATATACATAGGAGAAAAAAAATTATAAAATAGGAAGCATAACATTACCAAGAAGGCCAACAGCAAATGCCCATAAGAAAGTAATAAGGCCACAAGAGAGAAACCAAAGGATGAAACTCACTGGAGAAAAAAATAAAATAGGAAAACAATTGCTTACAATAGGAATTACAAATATTTAAGTTATACAGGAGAAAGAAACCATAGTAGAAAATACCTGTTGAAAATATCGAGACAAATACCCATCGAGGCTGTCCACATATATGTATTGCTCTTTTGGCAGATGGACGCCCCCGAATAACAGGCCTAAAATATAACAGGCACATATCAGACATTCTAGCAAGAAGCAGGATGAAATAGTTAGTAATTCCAGAGTTAAAATTGTACTTACGTATGGGGAGGTCTCAGTTTTGCAGCTAAATGTGGAGAAAACTGCCTGATTGTTCTTGTCACCTTTTCACTGAAAGTACCTGCAAAGCTGTAGGGACAGATTTTAGCAATATGGAAGGGTGAAAGAGGAAATAACTACTTCGAACTCTGGAAAAAGCATCGAACAGTGCCAGGTTTGCTTAAGGAAAAGATAATCAAACAGATGGAGAAAAAAATGTTGGCAGTAGAATTTTCTTCCTATTCCGAAAATAAACACGCAGAAACAAGAATATGTTTTATATAACATGAGTGTCTGCATGTAAGCCTATGATTTTATCCTTCCAAATTTTACCATCTTATGCCCTTGAATCCACCACCCCAAATCCACATCAAAAGATATGAAATTAAAAGGAGAAACAAAGAAACATAAGGCCGATGAAACCTTTAGGAAAAATTTTCATACTATAGAATCTATATGTAGCATGCCGAGATTTATTTTTCACTTTTGCATTCACTACTATGCAGATAGATGATCAACATTTTACATAATCCAACCAAAGAGTGAAGCTAACAATTTAATTAAATCTCTTTTGGTAAAATATCAAGTCGCACAAAATTACTCCTTTTCTATCCATGTGACCAATTTTTATTTTCCATTAATAACCCTGCCATCATGATATGATAAGGGAAAGGTTAAGTTGAAAAAATTCATAAAGAAAAGTGAAATTGACAAAAAAAAAAGTGCTCACGATATGCAAGAATACTCTTACAAAACAGGCCTATGTAGAACTGCCTTATTTTCAGACCTTTCTATAAGATTGTGATTGGTTAAGCTTCAAAAAGTAAATGTTAATTCGAAGTAAATTTTTGTACACAAACATATGCAAAGATGTCACTTTTTAAAAAAAAAATATTGAAGTAAGAAAAGTTATCAAGTAACTCTTAGGTTAGTGTAAAAAAGTAGTTTACTTTGACAAGTTAAAATGCTAATTATTTCAAACCTTCCTTATTTACTTATAAGCAAACTTTTTAAGTTTAGCCATGATGCTCTAAATCTTAAGTATCTACTTAAAAACTTATAATCTTTCATAGTCGCTAGAAATTTATAAGGTTGAATCCAAATAATATTTCTGGCTAACAGCTCATCTTAGCCCTCGTTATATACTTAGCGAGGGGGTTTAACCTGATCTTTATGTTTTTGACTAAAGTCTGCTTCCATAATTCACACAAAATCAATATATGAAAACAGAATTGGACCTACTTCAGGTGCCAAGGTCTTAGGGACAAGTCTGAATTCAATTAAAAATATCAGATTTCTTGGACAAATACTAACAATTCAAAAGATATTTTGTGCATTCGTGATTTACATATTAATCAAATCTTTATCACACTTCACTTTCTTGAGAATCCAAACTTATTCTTCCAAATAACTGAACTACAGAACATGTATTTCAATGTTAGCCAAACTTTGTTCCATAGAACACAGTTGTCAATATATGGCTCTAGATGGGGAAATTGGAAATAAATGATGTGGATAGCAAGCATCAATTAATGCTCCTCATGAAATATAAAGCCAGCTAACTGCACAAAGGATACCATGATTCCACCTATGGTTTATTAAAAGTACAATCAAACCTGTAGTTGTTAATTTATTTAGCTATAAAAAACATATATTTGTCTTATCCTAACATTTCAATTTAAATCATTAAGCTACTTCTAAATCTTCAACTATCCCTGTAATCAGAGATTGATAGGCTGTACAGATCATTCAAAACAACAAATTAACCCTCTCCAACACAGTGAGAGGATTATAAACTAGAAATAATACAAACTGCTTGCACTAGAAGATTAAAACTGAGCATTATCCTTAAAAATCCATGTATCTCCAGTTTGTATTACTATATTAATATATCAGTAAAATCTCTGAATGATAGGCAACAAAACATTGGCCAACTATGAGAAATGAACATCTAAATCCGAAAATTCTAATAGTAAGAGCATGTTTGGAAGTGTTCATGAATCGTTCAAATTATAAATAGATAAAAATGAGTAGTGGATAAGTGGAGAGTACTTTGGGTCCCTCGAAATGTATGGATAAAGAGTGACTTGAGTGTTTAAAAATAGTTTATAAACATGAGCCAAACAAAGCTATTACAGCTATTAATGATTATACTTGTGGATTTGATTCAAAATTATCACATGAGCAGAAGTGCATACCTATCATTCAGAAAAGCAATGCTGAGAGCTGTTAATAGGGCAGCTACAATAGCAAGTGGCCTCCTGAGAAATCCCAACCCTGAGTTGAACAATGCACATACATAAATCTATTATTATCCATGTGCTAATACATAAATGCAAGCATTTCTACAAAAAAATCATATTCAACTCCCTTACCAAGAATAAACACAATCATTATGAAGTAATTGGTTCGATAGCTGCAAGACACCACAAAATATATTAGTAAATGTAAGTAAATATGTTAAATTCCAAATTAACAGCTGCACCACTTTATTCCTTTTCTTGCAGAGAAAAAACAAAAACGAATATAATAGGCAGCAAGATTAACGCTCCACAAATTAAACATATCGCACAAACTTAAACGTCCTAAAAAAATATTTCTTTCTCTTTCTCTTCATATTTAATAAATTTAACATAAATAGTACAGATTCGACCACTCAATAATCACAGAAAGCATGAAGCTTGCAATTAAAAATCACATAAATATTTATCAGACTCACACACACATTTAGAGATAAATAATGGAGGATCGTACTAGTAGAGATTACACTTGAGGCGACTGTTCCATTTGGAGTAGGAATTGGGGACAGTGAATCGGGAGAAAAATTCAGAGAGAGGCCGAGGCGGGGATGACCAATCCACTTCGCTAAGTGCCTCCATTAGATCCTCTGCCGTGACGTTGCTCCAATCCATTTTATTAATTCAGTAATGCTTTGATCGATCAGCTATTTAACTCCGCGAAACCCTAGGTGAAGAAATTTAAGGAAAAAAAACCACAAATTAAACAAGAAAAAGGAGAAAGAAGGGAAACCTCGAAATAGAATTTCGCTGGGAAATGTGAAAAGGTTGGAGAAAATCAAAAATTGCAAATATGCTTGATGGTAATTTCATGTGGTCAAAGAAATCGAAAATACCGTGATGGAAAAGAAAATCAAACTATCATTATGTCTGAGCCCGGGTTCGAACCGGGGACCTCTAGTGTGTGAGACTAGCGTGATAACCAACTACACCACCCAGACTTGTTGCTTCAGCTGTTGTTTTTAGAAAAATACATAAAAAGAATACAGTTTGCCAGTGCCTTTACTTGCCTCAGTTGCTGCCGTCATGTACACAATGTGGCGACTTGGTGCAACGACGTGCCCGCGCACAAGTGTCTCGTGTGCCTAAGTTGCTAACTTCGTGTACCACAATATGCCTGCATTTCATATCATCAACGTACATGTAGTTATGTGCAAGACATGACACATTATGAAAAATTTAACACGATTAAAATGTAGGATCGTGCTTCAGTAACCAGGGGGGTGTGACACCCCTCCTGACAGAATACACACATTGGGGGGAGGGAGGCTTTTTTTTTTCCATTTTTTACTTCACGTCGATCACCGAGGTGGGCAGCCCTCTTCTGTCACTGAATCATTTTCCTAAAATGTATAGGTTGTTAAAATTTGAAGTCACATCTTAAAATGTAACCTTATTAAGGGCTGTCTGGGAGGGATTTTTTTGGACCAAACAATTGATTTTTTATCCATTTTTTTCAAACCTGCATGCCAACTGTGAGAGAGTGAGTCAAAAGTAGCTGCTCCCAACGGCTAGAAAATTGATGGCAACGTCTAGAATTGTGTTGTTCAGCAGAAACAGACAGCCCCTAAGAAAAGTAACTCAAATCTTTATAAATTAGTGCATGTTTTCATCTTGTGATGGTGGCTCGTTTGAGCAAACCAATTTTGAAATCCGTATGTTCATATTTTTTTTAGTCTTAATCGGGTCAAATTGCTCGTTGAACTGAATGGACTCTGGTATCATGTTAAAACCTGAAGTTTCATCTTAAAATGTCAAACTTATTAAGAGAAATAGTTAGGGGTGGGCAAAAAAATCGAAAAACCGACCAAACCAAACCCACTCGGGTCGGTTTGATATAATTAATGGTTTGGTTTTATTTTAAACAAAACCAAGGTGGTTCGGTTTGGTCATGATTTAAAACTCTAAACCACTGGATAACCGACCCAACCCACTTACACATGTTTCAATTTTATGTTATTTTTGAATAAAGAAAAGTCAAAATCAAAATTTTAATGATGTTATCCAGAATGTGGATGTGCTCAAGCTGTTTATTTGAGTAGCCTTGTTGAATATTATATAAACATTTTGTTTACTAGACATTAGATGTTAACAAAACTTTTGAGCATTGGTATTTGTGATATACATTTCACCTT